CGGACACACCTGCGGACACACACAGTCCAGTTACACTCCTGACATGCCGCGGACACACCTGAGGACACACGCACTCCAGCTACACTCCTGACACGCCGCGGACACACCTGAGGACACACGCACTCCAGCTACACTCCTGACACGCCGCGGGCACACCTGAGGACACACACAGTCCAGTTACACTCCTGACATGCCGCGGGCACACCTGAGGGCACACGCACTCCAGCTACACTCCTGATACGCCACGGGCACACCTGAGGGCACACGCACTCCAGCTACACTCCTGACATGCCGCGGACACACCTGAGGGCACACGCACTCCAGCTACACTCCTGACATGCCGCGGACACACACAGTCCAGTTACACTCCTGACACGCCGCGGGCACACCTGACGACACACCTGAGGACACACGCGCTCCAGTTACACTCCTGGTGGGAGTGGTGTCTGGGCTGCAAAGATGTAGTGTCCCTGTGAGCCCTACCGACTGGACCCCTGTCACCTGGAGATCAGCCTGGTGACCGTCCCTGTGGGCTCTGCCTGCTGGGTCCCACATACCCTGGGGACAGAGAGCTACACCTGTGTTCACCCAGCTTCCTTTGAACTGTCACCCCCAGGACACAGGCATGCAGTGAGGGACAGATAGGTTACCAGCACCTTGAACACAGCCTCCTGGGGGTGCTGGGAGATAGCTCCCCAAAGTAAGACTGGCAGATACTGACCTCCATCCCTCTTGGGGCCACCCCTGTTGGGATCAAGCCTCCAGACAGTCCCCTGAGGACTACTACCTCTCAGAGTGTAGTTTGCAGGAGGAAGGGGTGTGGAGGCCCCAGCTGAAGATGGGGTATACACCCGGAATCAGAGCAGAAACTACACACTGACAGGGTTCAGGAGGAAGAGCTGAGTCCCACGTCATCTCTGAAGCAGGAAGGGTGTTGTAAACATCAGCATGCACCCTTCTGACAGTGGAACATGGTTGTCACACCGCCCTGTCACGGCGACGCCTTCCCTGGAGGTCCACCTCTGGCCTGGCCAGCTCCGCTCCAGGGCGACATCAGGCCAAGGCAGGTCACTGTCTTCACCCAGCTCGCTCAGCACTGGGGCCCTGGCGGCCTGGCAGGAGGGAAGCTGAGGGGGTGGCAGGGCAGGACAGGACAGGCGTGTTACTCAGCGGTGATGTAATCCTGTTCTGGAAAGGCCACAATAATGAATTCTTGGAAACACGGAGGGGCACAGCGGGGTTTAGGGTTCAGAATCTGCATCTTCGTGTCCAGTCTTCTGAGGAGCGACCTTGTGAAGTGACCACACACCCGTTAGTGTACGGATTGATTACCCAGAAGCCGCTCCAGCAGAGCTGGCTGGGCAGGCCCTTGAGGGAAATAGCCAGGAGGATCCAGGGAGCTCGACTTCGAGGACACAGCCACGCGGCTGGGAGTCCAGTGAGTCCACGGTCCCCTCCTCAGGTGACACACTGGAAACGGCCCAGACCCATCAGGCTGGCCAGGAAGGAGAGAGACGCTCTGGAGGGTAACTGACTGCCCTCGTTGGAGCACATTGCCCTGAACGCTGGTGGCAGGTGCATGTGGCCAGAAGGGTCCGAGTGCTATCCTCATGGGCCACGGTCTGCGTCCAGGGTGCTGTGTGGGGTGACAGGATTGTCCTCCCTCAGACACAGTCCTGGATGTGGGTCCCGGGTGCTCCTGTGCTGAAGGAGGGGCCTGGGAAGTCCACGCGTGACCGCCTTCCAGCCTGTGCACAGACCACAGTACATACCTTCTTGCTAGGTTTCAGGCCCCACCTATGCCAGTGCTGGGTCTCACAACCTGGTCTGTCCTGTCTGGTCACTGTGCCCTGACTGCGGGCACGGGGTTCCAGGAACTGGGTCCAGACTACACACTGAAGGAAGACTATTTTCTGCTTTGACCTCCCCTTCCCATGACAGGCCTGCCTCTGTCCCTGCAGCTGTGTAAACCTGGGCTCATTGGGGGGGGTAACGGGGGGCTTCCAGTGGACATATGTCACCCAGGAGAAGCTCTGGCCACATGAGGTCTGCCTTCCAGCACGCACAGACGCGTACCCAGAAACTGACGAGGCCTGCACACCAGGGTGGGTCAGCTCAGAGGCTCCAGTGCCCTCTGGCCTTGTCCATTCACTAGTCCACTCACCCACGCCCACGGGGTTACTCCCGGGATGACCTCTGGGACGATCACATAGAGCTGGCTGCCACTCGTCCATGCCATATGGGTGCAGGGCATGGCCTTTCCGTGAACCCCCAGGCTCTGTCAGCCCCCGGACTCTGGGTGGGGGCTCTGCTTGGCTCCTCATCTCATGCCCCGGGGTCCTGGGAAGTGGGGGCCACACCAGGGTTTTCAGTATGACCTCAGTGGGTGGACATGGGGACGTCAGGCCAAGCTGAAGCCAGAGGGAGGCGTTGGTGGGGATGGGGCTCTTGTTCCCCAATCAAAGGGATGTTTGTTTTTTTCTTTGTCTCTCTCCAGCTGGGCCAGGCCCACATGTAGGGGTGTGGCCCAAATGTGGGCCCCTGACTGGCCCTACACCCTGAGGTTTAGCAGGGAGGAGAAAGGGCATGGTGTCTCCCCATCGAACCTTCAGGCTAACAGGAGGGACGAGGGTCTCTGCCCTGCACTTGGAAGGGACAGGGGCACTCTCACCAGGGACACAGCATATCTGGAGACATTGCCGGTTGTCATGATAGAAGAGCTGGTGAGTGGGGACCAGGGACGCTGCTGTAAATGGCAGAGTGGGAGGGACCGCGGGTGTGCTGCACATGCCCACCCCCGTGGGGCGACTGGTGCTGCACCCACCACAGCGCAATGGACATTGTGACTTCCCGGTGAGGCAGTGCCATGCTGGCAGCACAGTGGAGCAGGCCCCTGGGTAGGAACTGGAACCTCCAGCCAACAGTCAGAGCTGTCCCCTCGTCTGGCCACGACACAGTCACTGCTGGGGTGGACCCAGTGGCTGCCAGCCCTGCCCCTCCCAAAGTCCTGGCAGCACAGATAAAACCCGGGGCAGCAGACCTGCAGCTGCAGGCGATACCACTAGTGGGTGCGCTCCGACGGCTCTCGGAGGCTGTCACTCTGTCTTCCTTGAAGCAGCTGGTGGATTTGAACCTTGGCCTTCAGGGTAGCAGTCCTACACATTGTCTACTAAGCCACCAGAGCAAATGCTGCTTGAAGCGATTACATTTGAGGAGACTTGCTGGAACCCACAGCACCTTTGGCGTTTGGACCAGGGACAGACGTGTTGATATTTGTCCTCCCAAGACACTTTCCTGTGACCCCTGGGTGACTGTTCT